TGCCCCCTGTATATATCTTTTTTTTTTTTTTTTTTGCCTAACATGCCTTATTTCAAATTACATCTATTTTGAATATGCTTGGTTACAATGGTTGTTTGAAATTATTTCTATAACTAAAAGTGCAAATACATAAAAAATTTAGTCATAGATATATAGATTACCATGTAAAGGCAGGAAAATATAAAGATAATTGTTTTATCTATATCACCTAGCCTATAGGCAGTCAAAAAGGCCATCGGGGGATTTCCACGATTCTGCAGACTCGGGCAGAATCCGATTCCAGAATCCCCAAAAAATCCATCTTGAGTGCATAGCATTTGAATCAGTTCTCACGCAGGTTAAAAGCCACTGAAGGCCTAAATATACATAGCACCCCCTTCAATTTGGTGGATATAATAATTATGCAGCGCTAGTGGATGGATCTTTTTGCTTTGCTAGTTATTGGAATTTGCATACGGCTTTGTCTCGAAGCGTGGAGGCGAATGTGCTCTCAAGTGGCCTGATGTATGAGGTTCCTATGAGATAGAAGAATCAATAATGGATGCTTTGTCACTGTAGCTTATGTGCAGGCTACAGCTGCGAATGACAATCAATAGCTGCACAAAAAGATCTGTGATTTATTCGCTGTCAGTCCTGCAACTTATTATTTCTTTGTGTATTGTGAGTGTGCACATTTTTGTGATGTTAATAAGTCGCTTTTTAATGACTCTATATGCGAGTGTTTGTGTTGTCAGGATGCTAAATGGATTTATACCTCGAGATCCACTTGGTAAGCAAATATTCTGGCACAGAACCATACTGGCTGTTTGGGTTATTCGGAAGGGCAGTTCTTTCAATATCAGACTTAGTCTGTTTATTACAAATAAAGCATTTTCATTATTTACTCACTCTCATATTGTTCCAATCCCTTATGACTTGCTTTCCTCCATTAAATACAAAAAGAGATATTTTGAAGACTGTACCAGCTGCTCTTTTCCATGAATAGGAACATGAGCTCTTAAGTTTTAAAAGAACACAAAAGCATCATAAAACTAGTCCATACAACTTGTGCACTATATTTGACCCTCATGCTGTTCCAAACCTGTATGAGCTTCTTGTTTTGAAGAATGTTGGTAACCACGGAAGCTATTGACTTCCATAGTATTTTTTTTCCATACTTTGGAAGTCAGTTGCTGTTTGGATACCAACATTGTTCCAAATGTCATGTTTTGTGTTCAACAGAAGAAAGAAACTCATACAGGTTTTGAACGACATTAGGGTGAGTACATAATGACAGAATTTTCAATTTTGGGTAAACTATCGCTTTAAATCATAAGATAGATTTGTTTGACGAACAGGCCAAAAAATGAAGTCATTATTCACTGATAATATCCACCAATGTTTTGCTAATGGCTGTGACTGAATTATTGAGTTAAACTCGATAGCCGAATCAGTCCAATTTTTCAAAGCTTCATTCACTGCAGTTCAGTGGAAAAGAGCAAATAGTACATTCTTCGAAATTTCTCCTTTTGTGTTCCACAGAAGAACAAAGGTCGAACAGGTTTGGAATGACCTGAAGGTGAGCAAATAATCACAGAATACCATTTTTGAGTGAACTGTACCTTTTTTAATTGACCACATCAACGTAGTGTCCACATCTGACCTTTGTACATCAGTTTATTATTGAAAAGTGTAATACATTATCATAAATTACAGGGTCACAGAGTAAACTCGTTTGTTTTTTAATATGAGATCAGAGGTGGTTATGAAATGAATTTGGGCTGAGGAGAACGATTCACCAACATGTTTTGCTGTTTAATTTTTGACCTGGAGCATTTTAACGCACCCTTTCTCAGGTTAAGAAGGAAGGCTGTGTCTGCAGGTGATATGAAAATTGTGTCAGTCACTTTTGAAACAGCACTGTAAAATAAAAAGGCATTTGGCTATAATTGCTGCTGAGTAAAAAGCTGATCATTCACCTGCACAAATAGGGAGTGTATTAATAATTAAAAAGTTTTTTTTTTCACCGTCTGGTATGTGGATGACAGCCAGCAAAACACTGCCAAGAAAATTGTGAGGAGATGTGAAAAATACAGTTTGTAATCAATTGAAACATTGTTTATCGCCTCTATTGCAATATATTTTGCCAACAGGGAAGAGCTTAGTGTCTAGAAAGCTGACATAAACTTGACACTCTGATTTGTGAAGTCTGCAATAATTAGATTTTAAAAGGTCCTGCTTTCGATAGAGGGACTGCAATAATTTTAGCCTCGTCTCGAGGGAAACGAGAAGATAGCTATAAGGATTCTGCCATATTAGGCTCCTGTCAGAGTGCTCTGGGACGCTGCATAATAATAATGCAGATCTTTGGACTGCCCTTGAAAGTGCTGTAGATTTAATGATGTTCCGTTTTGGTTCCACCCTCTCCAGCGAAATGCTTTTTGGGGCTTTCAAAAATATCACTTTCGCAAGGATCCATTTTAATGGGAAAGAATTTTGGAATAAGTTTGCAGAAACACCCAATAAGTGCCTAATATCTTGTAATATATCAGTCTTGTAGCAAGCGCACATTTAGGTAGCCAAACAAGTGTCGAGTGACAGCAATTCGTTTTGAAGTAGGGATATGCCGGTATCAAATTTTCATGTTGCGATTAACTCGAGCAGATTTGCTTATGCTTGCTCATATTCAGCTGCCAAGTTAGCGTCTTAGATGGAGGAAAAAGGTTTAATGGCTCTCTCTGAAGCTGAACCGAGAAAAAAAAGGAAAAGAAAAACAAGTTGAAATTGACTTGATGCACTCTTAATCTCGTAATTAACATATCTCCCCTCTGGCCTTGTTACGC